AAAAAGCTTACTTATTCGGACAATCTGCTACAAATGTGCTTTTGGGAAACCCAAATTTCCACCTTTAAACTTGACCATCGCCCCGTGTGTCCACAGGATGTGTGAAGAATAAATACACCCAACCTAACTCGGTCATGCATAGCGCGGCGTTTATTTATTCATTCGGAAGTGCAAGTTATGTGTATTGGATGGGAGGGTAGAATGGTGCTTGAGGATTATTTGTGTTATGATAAGTCAGTCAGTCGGTCAGTCAGGTTCAACTGGGTAGGTACAGTACAGGTACAGTACTGTACGAGTACAGCAGTTGTACTCGAACAAACCCTCATCATAGATTATGTAGACTACCTCGCAGCAGGAATGGGAGGAAGAGCCAGCCAAGTTAGCTAGTTCTACTCGAGCGTTGGAACTAACTAACTCACCTGTCGTGAGCAATCGACATCATAATGTTATCATACAGTAATACCGTGCTCGAGCAATGTGTATCCATTGATTGATTTGTCCAACACCCTACGAATACAGTACAGTACTCGCACAGTTCGAGTACAGCAGCTGCATCACAATCCTGCATCTCACACAATGCCACCAAATTCAACTGCATCCCATTTATTGTACCTTCCTAGGACAAGGGGGGGACAGGAATAAAGGTACCGGTGCTAAAAACACCCGCACCACCAACAAGAACAATAATAGCCCTATCCTTACCTAAATAAAAATCCTCTAAAACAGCAGTGCCGCATGAGGGTGTAATAGTAGAGCGGAAGAGAAAACAAAGCGGAAAAGGAAAAAAGAAAAGGCAACCTCGATCGCCAAGCGCTTCGCTATCCTCCTCCCCTTGCTTTATCTGCGCTACGCTGCTCCAAGGCAAGCAGATAAACGAGATCATCAACCCGGATTAGAGTTTCACCTCGACGCGCTGGAAGCAAATAGAGCGCGGCGTTTGTTTGCTTGTTTGTTTGAAACGTGGGGAACAAGCGCACGGGCAGCGAGATTTATGCATTTGTCTCTATAAGTGGTAGGGGAATAGAGTTATCGCAAACCATTGCTGTACGGCAACTGTAGCGACGAAGGAGGTCTGCTAATAGCTGCTAGCACAGTGGGCCGGGATAGGTCAGGCCGGGCAATTAGTTAGTATGGGGGGGTAAGTTAGTCTAGTTCATGCCTTAATGTGATGGGGAGCTCCTTTTTCGTTTTTTGTTTCCTTGGTTTGCGGGCTATTATTGGGGTTTTTAGTTTTATATGGGGTATCATACTGTGTGGAGCGTGCGCTAATATATCAAGAGATGGACATTGTAGGGCCGCGTACATCGCTGAGAGGGGCCTAACATGCACCTACGAGAGATGCGAAAATAATAAAAATTCAGATCATAAAGAGGTAATGGTGCTGGATTGTGGGTGCCGGGAATCAGTATTCAGGCATCTTTCAACCTCAATCTATCGGTCGGTGAATCGGAGCCATTCGGGTGACAGAGCGGGCCCCAGCTTGTTAGGTAGTGGTTACTCAAGCATAGCTATCAAAAAACCATTGGTCCCAAGTGAGTGATCAAAGTATAGTTTTCCGCTCCGGGATATCCGTTTAACATCACTGCACCTCGGTCCTTTTTTGGTCAGTTGGTTGTCTATGGAAGGCGTGTCTTGAATGTTAGAATGTCAGTTAGAACCGAAAAAAAAAGGGGGGGGCATTGATGTTACCTAACCATAGGGTTGCGCATTTTTTGTTTCTATTTAAAACAAAATAGATTTTGGGGTTCCCGCATGTTTGATGATTCTCCAAATTCTCCGTTTACGGGTTTGGGCCATGGGAGGAATTATATCAACGTCCTGGATCATTTCTTTTTGTCTCGAGGATATAAACGAGGAGCTTTGTGCTGTGCATCGGGTGGGTGCGCATGATGTACCGCAGTTGCGAGTTGCTATCACAGGCAGCGGCCCTAAGGTGTCAAAGGTGGAGACAGTGCGGTATTCATGGTTGAATATTCGGCAAACTGCGATAGCTTGTCTGTAGGCCCTGATAGGGTACAAGATTTCTCTTTGCATAAACCGATCAAACCGCTCGCACCACGGTATCTAGCATCTTTAGTAATCGGGGAGTTCCAGCTGCTCATTATCGGGGGGAAGGGGTTCTGGGCTGTGGTATGATAAGGCGGTGAGATTTCGGATCAATTGTGTTTGCTTGCGGCACCGCCGGTATTAAGTTCTTCCGGTATATATATTGTACCGGTACTGCAGCCTCATAGCTTGCACTACCTCTTGTCATCTATCGAGAGTGCGTTGGATTAGTTTCGTAACTCCCTAGGCGCTCACTAGTAGGGAAGAGAGCAATATGTGCTCAAGGGAGCGGTCTGAGATCTGGAATCCGTGGGATGACCACTTGCCTTCGGGGCTTCTTGCCCCTAAATAATATCGTTGCACGAACCCGTTGCTTGGATGACTAGAAATGCTACCCAAGGCACGGCTTGAGGGCTGTACTTGTACTTGTACGAGTACTCTACTCGAGTAGTCTTGCTGCAGGCTGCCGATGACGTGCCGGTTTGCCGGTCGGTGATTCGCTTCAATTTTTTGGCCCTCTTTGCGTTGGAAATGCAACTGATGAGTCGACCCATTGAACGCTTACCCCACGAAATTCGGCAGTTCTGATCGCTAGCTTCCTTTCTCTCCGCTGCGCATCAGAGTTAATCTGTGAAATTGATCGGAAATCTCCGGTTGATTGTGGCGGCCATTGTGATTTGGCTTGCACCCCCTTGTTTAGGTATGAGTGGGCGAGTTACTCCAAACGTGGGGGAGAGAAAGTATCATTATCCGGTCTCTCATAGTGACCGGGGATATGGTATGTGGGTCATTGGGAGGAGGGAAATAAAATAATTTCATAAGCAGGTGGGATAACCCCCAAGTAAAATAACTGTATCTCTGTCCGAAAAGGACTACCATGGCCAAGTGTGGAGTTGTCTCGGGGTCTCGGTTGGGACCAACTTAGGGGATTGAGCGGGGAAGCGGACGGGATCAATTGGTGGTTGGGGAGGAGGAAAATATTTCAGAATGAACGTGGTTGCACGTGGCCGTCAAAGGACAAAAAGAGGGCAGCTGGTGGGGTAAATTGTTGCACAATTGATATCGTATAATACTAGCAATCGTGGATTTCAACCGCTCTCTAAGGTGAGTGAGAATCGGTCCCTCAATAAAGTAGAAATCGTCCCAATCGATGCGGTGCCACGGCGTGGAGGCCAAAATTCGGATAAATACCTGGAAAAATGGTTATCCTTCTGGGGGTATTGGCCTGGGAGAATGGGGGTTAGTTATAGGATTGCCTTGGGGGAAGATGGGAGGTATTGTGAATAAAACTTGGAGGTGGAATCCATGAGGGGGTAGCGGTAGTCTGACATGGGTAAAGAGGTCTGATGTGACAACAGGACAAAGTACGGTATCATACTCAAGTAATAAAAGAAGCAAAGTAATAAAAGAAGGCCTCACCCCACAGAAAATTCTTGACAAAAAAGTGAATGGAAAAGCAATTCCTACCCCATTAGTGCGGAAGCACCTGCTCGAGTACGAGTACCACACAGGATCTGCACCCTAGCGTGTGGCGTGAAACTTGCTCACTCTCACCACCCATCCTTGAGCAATGAGCATGGATCACCGTCTCGTTCCCGAATTGACTGGTCTGAAAGAGACACTCCAAGTGTCCCGTTAGCTTTGGGTCGGATGGATGGAGGGCAATTCAAGGTGGAGAACGAGCAAAAAGTTGTTGGAGGGAGGGTCGCTGCCTGACCACTTTATAACCAGCAGGACAAGGCCGAAGAGGGGGATGCATGAAAGAACGACCGAAAGGGTTGAAACTGGCTCTATCTAGCGCAACCACGTTCCATCGACCGAGCCTTCTTTATCGGGGCTCAATTCACGATTTATCGAGATAGCCCCTTCGTTCGTTCGTTCACTTTTTTCTTCTTCTTTGCGTTATCGCAGCTTAAGCGGAGGTGTCTGTGTTATCAGGATCCCGGAAAAGGTTGAATGAGCGACAGGGTCTTCTACTCGTACAGTAGAGACGGGAGAAAACTAGTTAAGCACAGGGGCAGATCATTGAGCGGTGCTGTACTCGAGTACACTGCTAAGCAGTACGGCACAGTACACTATCAGAAGCTACCTTTACCGCAACAAGCAATCGCATCTTTACCGGAACAAGGCAAGAACAAACGATTATAGTAAAGGGTGGGAATCCAGATTGTCATCTCCCAGAATCGTCTGACTAAAGCATGAGAATTTGCTCAAGGTTTTCTGTTTTGCTGCTGTTCATATCAAACACCGACTTCTTGTTCTGTAAGTTGGCCATCGTCGAAAACCCCGGAATCCTGGGCCTCAATCTACTGCGCGTACAGTACAGTACTCGTACAATATACCATCTTGGAAGACTCTGAGGGCGTCGAAGATATTTATTTTTGGATAGTGGCCAGTTGGCTGGGGCAATCGGGATAGTTGAGGACAACACAGCCAATAGATAGTTTTAAGCCTCCTCCTCCACAAAGGTCTCTTACCAGTATCATACCTATCCAATCAGTTCTTTCACCCTGTGAACGGCTTGTCTACCCCTCACACAGATCCGAATCGGCAAGTCAGATACTCCCGCGGTCAGGACACTAAAACGCCATTACCTTTATCTACTCGAGTACCTTATCATCTTGTTATCTTGCCCTTTGTTTGGCCTACCTTACTTTTTGACACAAGGCCGTTGCTGCCCCTCCGGACTCGGGGAGAAGAAAGTGCTGTCGCGACGGCTTCTTAGATTCATTCCTATCGGCCATTATCTGGTCGTAATAGCTGGAGTTAAGTGAGCATTTTCAATCACAAATATTCAAAATGCCCATCTTGAATGGTGTGAAATTTTCATGGTATGTGGCTCCCCCGCCCTCGTTCCACCGCATTCTCTGCGGCTCCCCCTTGCTTTTTCGTTCACGGCCGAATGTCCGAGGGGAAAGTTGTATCTAACTGTCGGGCATGGTAGCGAACCTTGTATGAGAGGCCACCGTTCTTCGAAATGTAATCACACCGATCGAATCCTCGTAAAGGTCCGTAAACCAGGAAGGCCGTTGAGCAGCTGCCCTCACACGCTGTCTTCGTCGTCTCCTGGGACCTTTGTTCATTCGTCACCTGGCGCCATTTCGAACGGAGGGAGTACTGCAACTAAGACGAACACCTATGGGGAAGAAAATGGAAGAAATAGTTGTAGTTGTGAGATTACATCGGTGGCAATTCCTAAACGTATGCAAGACCTTGCACTTCCGTTCTTGATCTGAAGGAACACTGTCGGGGTGAATACGCATCGGATTCTGACATTTGAGGCTTCTATAGTTACCTCGTGTGTGTGTGGAGTTTCCGGTTCTGCCTCCAAGTCACATGCATCATGCAAAACATCAAAACCACCCTCATGCTCCGAAGCAAGTCCCTTACCTTCACCAGTGTCGTCCCAAGGCAGCGCGGTCTTCTCTATGAACAAGGTAACAGGGCCACGCCATCGGGTCCAGAGGAAAAGCGTAGCTGGGGCTGATGGAAGCACGACAAGGAGGGCGAGTTTGATTGCGGGTGATACTGCAATGGAGTTTTTGTGGAAGGCACAACAGGAAGTAGGAAGCTCGGATGTTGGGGTGGAGAAGGGATCGAAATATGGTGCGATCGGGACAAATTTGGCGGGAGTCAAAAAACGTGGTGATGGACGATCGGGATATACTAGTGGGGCCTCTTGCGCGGGCGGGCCCGGGAACGGATTTTCTTTAATAGATCCTAAGGGCCCCATTCAAGGCCGAGAATTCCCAGTTGCTGTTGGTGCTGCATTTTCACCCTCAAACGGGGTTCCTGCACCAAAGCCCGATATTGGCAATGGCATGATGCCCGCAGGTGGCTGGAGCTCGACCCTTGATCTCCCATTTTTTGGGGAGGTTCTTCCAACAGATGCTCCACATATGGTCAAGCCTGGCGGTGGATGCTGTAGTAGTAGCCGCTCAGCACCGCAAACTCCACAAACCAATTTCGATCAACGCCCATCTACTGTTCCAAAGGTCGTGGCCTCTTACTGCAATGGGGGAGCGGGTCGTGGTGGCAATTTTGTCGCCAAACTAGGATCGCCGCCATTGCCGGTTCCCGGTTCTGAATTTTCTACTCGTACTTCTCCACAGTACAACCCCGCTTATGACACTACCAATTCTTTGGAAGAATCACTGCCGCGACCTAGTGGGCCCTCAACTGTAACTCTCACTGCCCGGGAACTTGCTTGGGTACAGTATTTAAGAGCTACGGGGTTTTCTTCGCCACCCCCTCTGTCGGGAGCTGGGTTCCTCCCAGATCTCCAGATGACGAGCGGGGGCGAAGAAGGTAGGCAATCGACAGAATGTAACTGCGGGCCTGACTGCAACTGCCTAGGTTGTATCAGCCACCCATATAACCCGCGTACTGTTGAGTATGTGAAGGGGCTTCGTAATTTTGCACTCGATGATCAAACAATAAGTCCTTTTCACTCCCAGTCGAATTCACCTACCCTCCCTCAATCCCATCTTAGCGGGTCAGTAGACGAAATGGGGGAAGCCGGAGACCCCATTGCTTCGGTTCACAGTCATACTGCAACCACCAGGACGAATATCAACTTAATTATTCAGACCCCTCCACCCCCGCCATCGCCAGATCGGGAGAGCTCCACCGGGGCCCCTGAGAATGGAGTCTCACCTAGTGCCTTTGTGTTGGTGGACTATCAGATTGGGCCGTGCTCTGAGGCTGAGACTGAATGTAAATGTGGGGATGGGTGTATTTGTCTCAACTGCTTATCCCATGACAAAGGCTACGGGGTGGAAATGGCCAGAAACGCTCAGTGGGATGCCAGTGGCCTCAACGGTGCTGAGGCAGGCATAGTAACGGGTCCAAATTGGTGGGGTTTTGGGAATAACGGTCCTGTTGAAGCAAATTCATGGAATTCCGTTTAGAGTTTTTTTTTTTTTTTTTCTTCCCCTCAACAGCTGTTGATATTCTATCTGATTGTTTAGGCGGGGCGTCTCATCTGGCTGTCTTTATCTTTCGCACGGCGTTTTGGAGGTCTAAGTGGGGAAATTGGATAGATATGGGACGGTGGGGTAATTTGGATCAAGTTTCCTCCTCATATTCTTATTTTTCCCTCAGCGTTTACTATTTCCATAGGGATTGCTTCTGGGTAGTATCTGTATATGTGCTGTTTCCCCTAACTATCTCGTCCGGCTTTGCTTGTTTTTCTGGGGATGAGCTAAAAGTTTCCCTTTGGATATCTCTCATTATATGTAGTTTGGGCCATTTCTCTCTCCATCGGGCTATTATGGATGCCTATAGGATGATTATAGGTTGTACTGAAATGGTAGCATGTATGATAAATTGTATTGGTATCATAATGCACTTATATAGTACGCTGCCTTCGAAGCAAAGCTACCGAGGGTACTGTACTCGTACTGAAGTTGTGGAGCGGGTGCATTTTGAAGCCAATCGCGCCCCAAAGACCCTGGGACCGGCTCTAGCCAGCCGCCATGCGACAAACCACGTTTTACCCCACAGATTGACCTTCCCCACATCGGGCCACCCTCTTTACAATCTCACCTCGCCGGCAACCACTTCCCAGCCATTATCAAACAAACACCCATGTCACAAACACACACGCACCATTAACATTAACGATAACCCACTCCACACAAACCTCAGCAATGTCAATCTTAATAGTCAACCCGAACTCCAACGTCTCGATGACCAAAGCCCTCGAGCCAACCATCGAAAATCTCAACATCCCAGCTCTAACATTCACCTACTTCACCGCACCACTCCCTTCCCCACCATCAATCGACGACGCTGAGAGCTCCCAGAAAAGTGCAGACGTCTGTTTCCCGTTGCTCTTCGAGCGACTAACTTCCTACGACGCCTTCGTCGTAGCGTGCTACAGCGACCACCCGCTCGTTCCGCTACTGAAAATGCACACCGGTAAGCCCGTAATCGGGATTTTCCAGGCCAGCGTGGCGCATGCTTTGCATGTCCTTCCGCGGGAGAAGAAGTTTGGGATTATTACCACGGGGAAGGTTTGGGAGGAGTTATTGACGGAAGGGGTGCATAGGTTCTTGGGTGGCGGGGAACGGTTCGCTGGTGTGCAGAGTACTGGGCTTGCCGCGGGTGAATTGCACTCCGTGCCTGAGAAGGAGTTGAGGCGGAGGATGGAGCGTGCCACAGAGGAGTTATTGGAGAGTGGGGATGTGGGAGTTGTTTGCCTAGGGTGTGCGGGGTTGGTCGGGTTGGAAGGGGTGGTTAGGGGGGTCGCTGAGAGGTTGGGCCTTGAAGTTAAAGTTGTAGATGGAGTTATTGCCGGCATGGTTACTGCTGGGGGTCTGATAGGGTGCAAATATTGAGATTCTTAGGTTCTTTCCGCGAGTGACTTTTTGTGACTTTTTTGATTTGTGGTGTTTGCTTGGGGGTGGTGATTTAATCAAAAGTACAGTCTGCGAAAATGCGAAAATGGAAAAAAATGAGAAAACGGACTCCCGCATGCTTTAGACGAATTACGGAGACTCCATCACTACTACCCCTTCGTGACTACTCCCCCCACCATAGCTTCAACGATGCAAGATTATCTGAAGCAATTAAACCCACAGCAGCTAAACCTAGCATGTGGCCTAACACCCTGCCTATTCGCAGAGACACCCCATCCGAACCTCCGCCCGCCGAACCCTTTGTTGTAGGTGAAGGGCATTTTCTTCGTTTAGTTATTTTTAGGGACTGTTTGTGTTCTTTTTTTCGTTCGTTCGTTCGTTCGTGCTGTTCACAACCATTAGCTCTTCCACCCCACCACCTGTAAGAAAGCTAGCCATCACATGGACATAACATATTAACTCACCAAAAGGTATCCGGGGTAAAAATAAGCTCTCTTCAAACTATTTCTTGTATAATACTCGAGTATTTAGGAAAGAAGAGAAGGAAGGGAACTTGAAGGGAAGAATGCCCTTCTTAAATACCCTTTTTCTTCCCGCCCCTATGGAGAAATCAGGGACACGACTGGATCGCAGGAAGGAAGAAAGGGACCTGATGCTAGGCGGCGGAGTGGGCCTGGTGTGTGGAGCTTGTTTTTTTGGGAGCTTGGATTTTGGATGGTCGTGACGTAATTTGACGCTTTGGGATGATAATGGTAATGACATTGTTATTGTGGCTGAAGAAGTGTCTAGTTGTGGGGGTGGCAAGTGATGGCAGGGTAACTGCAGAGAGAGGGTTGCTAAAAGTCCAAGCCAAACCCTGTGGCCATTTTTTCACTTCTATTTTCTTCGTCACCCTCCTCTGCAGTGCCATCTCTCCCGGTCACTTATCGGTGCGATTTATCTATTTCTCCCTCACCTTCACCGCCACCGACATTGGTCCAATCAAACAGCCCAATGGTGCTGAGCAATTGCCAACAGAAGGTACAACCCACCACCCCAGCTTTGTTCTTATTTCTACCAATCGCAATGATGATTTCCCGAGTAATGCATAGTTCAACAGAGATTACTAGTCCATGTTGAGACTTTAACCATCGTCTTTCGCTCCTATCTGATTGCTTTGTTTTGCTTCCTTCCGAGTCGCGGTGTATCTTTGGGGTTTTACGGGGCTCGGAGGCTAATTCGGTCGTTGTAGACAGGATGGGGTAGATGTGGATTTCTTGATTAGAGATTTTCGGGTGTAGAGAGTGCTGGGCGAGTGGCATCGTGGGTCCGGTATTGTATTGATTGGTAATTTGAGGGCACCTTATGCTACTGCGGGGGCTGTTTGAAAGATTCAGCACCACCAATGGGTATGGCCGGATCATGGTTCTGGACATCGGTCCTGGGGAACGTGAGCTAACACAGCACCGGTTTCCTTCTTTTCCTATTCGGTGGGATGATAACGGTAATCGTCATTTGGATCACCGCTTTTCATGAAAGCCTTCACGGACTTTCCCATCTCATCCCTCTCATCTTATGAGTTAGCCCATCCTTATTCGTACCTGTAGATTAAACAAAAACAATGCCAAGCATTCGCTCGCTCCCAAGAGGTTAGAGCTTTCGCAAAGAAAGAAAGAAATCCCGTCCTCTGCCTCGCTCGATCCATGATCCCTCCTCCATTCATAGATCTAGAGCTGGATTACTGTCGTACCTCCCCACAAGGTTGGTGCCCCGTAACAGGACAAGAGTAAACACATATATGGCTTCCTCGATTTGAGTACGTTCCTGCCCATAGCGAGGTACGTAATTATCGACGATACAATTCTTTCCATTGCATCGGCTCCCAAGAAACGATGAAGTAGGGAGGAGGGGGGTACTGTACGGCGCTGTGATGCTCAATTTTTGGTTGGCTCGATAGAGGCCTATGAGGGGGAAGAGAGAGAGGCCAGGTTTTTGGTTATTGTAGATGCGCGACTGGGTCCCAGGGTGGCCGGGGGTTGGAGGGATGGCAGATAGATATCATTTCCATGTCATACATTGGTTTGGCAGTCTACAGCGCCACATTCCGACACTTGGGGCAATGGATGCCCGTATTGAGTGGGCCGGGGGTGCCCGCTGGGTGGTTCCTGTGACCGATATCCATGGGGGGGGGGGACCTAGGGGTGTTTCCTTTGGCGTGCGCGTCGTCTCCTCTGGTGGTTCGACTCCTTTCTATTGGACATCATAATCACGCGTGCTCACTCGGTGCTTTTGTTCGTGTGGGTTTTGAAGTCCGTATTTGGAATCCTCCCTCGAACTGGATTTGTCGAGCAGTGGATTGGGAGGTACGACTCTTGGCTGGTATGGTAGTGTACGATTTCGGTCACTAGACGCTCGCACCGCGCAAGGACATGGCCATGTTTGGAGCCCTTGTTTGATGCCTATCTTACCTTCTATTCTCCGTTCTTTGGTCTGCATCAACCGTACCTATTCGTTCTCTACGTCTAACGTGCATCCTCGAATAATTTTGGAGTCCGCGTTGGATGGATATGGTGCGAGAGGGCGAAATGGGTGGGTTTTTCATACCCGTTCACATCATGGTTGAAATTCGTTCCTACACTCAAGTCACAGCTCAAATCCCCGAATTGTACGGACCAGCTACTTCTAAGAGAAATACAGTAATTGAATTCATGGTGTGAACGGGGGTGACTGGCTCACCCTTTCCATCTTCTCGCACCATCCTTTCCATCCCTACACCAACTAGATTCTCCGAACAAATTCTGATATGCTGTTGCCAATTGTCTAGACCGCAAGTCTACGATTTAAGTCACCCCGGCAGGTGCTATCCTTCACATAAGGTCATCATCGTATTTATCGGGGAACCGCCAAACAAATTGTGCCTTTACAATTTCTAAAATAAGAGTGGAGATTTTATTTGTTTTATAGAAAGTATAGACTAGAGCGGCTACAAGAGATGATAATCAAAAGAGTTCCAAGAACACATAAGCCATAATAAAAACAAAAACATACTCTCCACACCGATTTTCCCCTTTATACTGTGTCCGCCTTGTTTTTTTTTTTGTTGTCGTCGTCAAGGGTTGGTATATATAGAGATCTGGGTTGGTAGGCTTGCTAAGAGAAGATTTGCCTATTTTTGCTCGTGTGTTTTTTTTTCCCTTTCGACAGGGGAGTTTTCATCTCTCACTATTCGATAACTTGTTAGTAATGTGGGAGTGGGAAAGGGGAACATAAACTTGCCAGCTCATATTCTCTAATCAATTTTGTTTTGGTTAACGCCGTTCTCCTCGTCGGGCTGAGCTCCAGTCATTGGTTCAGCCTTCTCCTCCTCCCTCTCCTTAGTGTCGCCCAAGCTGAGCTCCGAGATGATGTCTGAGACGTCACGATAAGAGGTAGATAGGAGGTCATAGTCGTCAAAACCTTCTCCCTCTCCAACCAGTTCCCCATTGTTGTATCCCTCATGCTCGTAGTCCTCCGGAACATAATCATCGTCGCTCTCAAACGCGTATCCAGTGATAGGATGCTGTTGGGGAGCATTTTGGAAAGCGCCGGCGCTACCATTTGTGTGGCCGGAGGAGGTGGGGACGGGGACGGGGTCACCGGTGCTAACGGGTACATAACCGTGGAGTGGACCGCCGTCCTGAGAAAATTTGCCGTTTTGAGCATCCGGGGTAAATTCAGGTTGTTGAAAGCTGCGGTTATGGTCGCCGTTCTGGGTAAAGTTGGTATTTTGAGCACCCGGGGCGAAGCTCGGTTGCTGAAAGTTAACGCTAGGGCCACTTCCAGGAACAGAGTTAGCATTCCGGGCTCCAGGAGCGAATCCAGGTTGCTGGAAACTATTGTTATGACCGCCGCTCTGGGTAAAGTTGGTATTTTGGGCACCCGGAGCGTAGCCAGGTTGCTGAAAATTGACGCTAGGGCCACCGCTTGGAACGAAGTTGGTATTCTGAGCACTCGGGGCGTAGCCAGGTTGCTGAAGATTAACGCTAGGGCCACCGCTTGGAACGAAGTTGACATTCTGAACACCCAGAGCGAAGGCGGGTTGCTGAAAGTTAACGCTAGGGCCACTTCCAGGAACAGAGTTGACATTCTGGGCTCCAGGGGCGAAGCCGGGTTGCTGGAAGCCGTTATTGTGGCCGCCGTTCATAGTAGGGTCGGCTTTTTGAACACCGGGAGCGAAGGCGGGCCATTGAAGGTTGGGGTTATAGACGCCTTTCTGTGCAAGCTTGACATTTTGAGCACCCGGGGCGAAGCCGGGTTGCTGGAAGCTGTGATGACCGCCGTACTGTGCAAATTTCGCATTTTGAGCACCCGGGGCGTAGCCAGGCTGCTGAAAGTTAACGCTAGGGCCACTTCCAGGAACAAAGTTGACATTCTGGGCTCCAGGGGCGAAGCCGGGGGCCGGAGGGTTGAAATTATGACCGTAGTAACCGTTGTTATAAGCACCAGCATTCTTGCTTCCAGCCTGAGGTATGGGCCCTGGTCCGTAATATCCGCCGCCGAACTGATTACCAACATACTGCCCGCCAGCAAAGTTAGGAGGAGGGACGCTATTGTAGTTTTTCCAAATGCCGGGATTGGGACCGGGGTTCTGCTGGTAGCCGCCGCCTGGCTGGCTCCCAACATAATGATTGTTGACATATCCTCCATTCGACTGGGGCATTCCAGGAAAAGCTGTTGCGGGAACGGACATACCACCCTGAAATCCAGGGTATTCGGGAGCCTTCGAAGTGGGAGTAGAAGCCTCACCAGTTCCAGGAATAATAGCGGCTCCATCGGGGGCGTGCGGGATGGGCGGGGTGGGCTCGGGCCGGGTGGTGGCGGCCCCGCGCATTGCGTCGACGGGCACGAGCTTTGGAGTGCGGGGATTAGTACGGGCGGGAGGCATAGTAGGAGGCCCCCAAATGGACTCTTGGCCATAGCTATACGGGTAAGCTCTAGGCATAGGCTCAGTATCCTTACCCCACAGGTGCCCGATCTTGGACCAATTTTCAAAGTAGATATCGTTAGCCTTCTTAATCACGGGAGGTGGCTGCCCTCCGACAATCGTTCGAGGGAACGGAATAACTGGCTTAGGGAAGCGAGAAGGATCGACATCGTAATTCGGGACAGGGCCTTGTGAAAACGCATTTCTCCTCGCCCTAGCCTCATCCTTGCGATTCTCAATTTTGCTATTCAGTTCCTTAATACGATCTTCAGTAAATTCAGCACGGAAGTCGACCCATTCATCAAAATTGACGGCGCTAATCATGCTGGCTGGAAAGGACTTTTGAAGATTCATTTTGGTCTCCTTGAATTTCTCGTACTCCGCCACAAAAATATTACGACTCTCAGACTGGTAAACGCGGGGGGTCCCGGCACCGCCTTTGGGCTGCGTATGAGCGGTTGATTGCAAAGTGAGGGCTGGACGTCCAAGTCCGTGAATGGCGTTGTTTCCGGAGTTCGACATTTTGGTATAGGGGTGGAAAGAGTAGGTGACTGGACAAAGCTTGGATGGAACGACGAACACGGCAGCGGTTGGATTAAGAGCAACATGGGGGTCCTCGGCGGGAGCTGCCGAGGCGGCCAGGACGAGGGCAAGAGCGTTGTCGCCGCCGCCGTCGCCGTCGACACTATCCCCACCATCCGTGCCGTCGCCGCCCTCGCTGGATACCTGCCCTACCCCCAACTCATTCTCCTTTTCCGACATATCCAAAATAATAATAGAGATTAATTATATCCAGATCCAGTACTACTGAGTCCCGTAGCACCAATTACAGTGACAGTGCGAGCTAGTCAACTAAATTGAGTCGATCAAATGGTCAAGCTGGTTCCCAAGAAAAATTATTGTTAGCAAGCTTAATACGGAAAGGTGGTGCTAATACCGTATTAACTGAGAAGAACCACCTGGCACCAGTATGTTCAAATAATATTTTATCCTAGTTTTGTCTCGAAATCGCAACAAAATGCCATAGGCTAGCTCTCTCAAGCTGGTGCTAAGCTTCTCAGATCTCTGATTTTGGCGCAATTACAGGTTTCACCTCAGCCGCTTCTTATTTCAACGTAAGAGTGTGAGGCTGCTCAGTTAATATGTTATCAGCAGAAGAGCCACAGTACCAGCCGCGGAAGTAATGAGTGGTAATAGCTGTGCTGTCGATGTTCGATTAGTGAGCCTGATAGGGCCACCCGCTGAGTCGCTGGGTCGCTGGGTCGCTGGGTCGCTGAGTCGTTGAGTCGCTGAGTCGTTGAGTCGCTGAGTCGCCGTGGTGGTTGTGGTGAGGATGCAGGTGGCGAACTGAAAGCTGCCTGTACTCAAATAAAACACCGATGTTGGTGGGAAGACCCGTTTCAATAGTAAGGGCTTCTGCGTTTAAATTTTTTTTGATCTCACTGCTAGAGTCATACCCTTCCCTAACATGCTGCAAGACGGCTTTTTTCGGACCAAGATTGGGCTGCAAGGACCTACCCTAAAGCCCTAATTTTATATTCTTTATGTGAGGGTAGAGGTGTCCATGGCCTTTTTCATCCCAAAAAATTCTATACACAATTGTGGGCGAGCGCAACCAAACCTGAATCTTATGGGCCGAAGGGCTGAGTGATTCAAGTATGCGAGTGACACTCTATGATTGGAAATCTAAATATCACAGATGGCGGTCCTGCGGGTTGACGTCCGGGACCTGCAGTCCTAGTACAAAAGGTATATCCCGGCAGTCATCTGAAGGGCTTGGACGGATGCCAAAATGTCCACCCATTCCGGGCACCTTCCCATGCACTGATTTCCGTCCCGTACGCACCCAAAGACGGACGGACTCGACGCTTGGGCTCGCTGGCTAAATACAAGTACAAGGAAGTCTTCACGAATTTAGATTGATTGGGTAATCTTTAGACTACTCCAATAGTCCAATATTGCAACCATGAAACATTGTGTTGCGTATTTTACAACTTACCAGGAGTATGGCTCAAGCGGCTTACAATCTTCACCAGAGTATCATACAACCTTTTGAATTTGATAGCCTCTTCAACTACAAAGAAAACTCTAGGCAATAGAGAGAGAGAAAAGGTGAATAGAAACTAGGGATGTTTTTTTTATTTTTCAAAAATAGTCCCATGGTTATAGAGGTTACCAAATTTGAAAAGTTGGACTATGGTGCACGTTCTAGATCTCTCGAACCACACGAGCATTCCATCTATGATACAGTATGATATGATACGACATGATAATTATAATAATTATGATATGATACGATACACAAATGGATTTGTCCTGTAGGGCAAGGTCATCCCTAACATGTGAAAAAATGTGATACCTTTGATGTATCCTGCTCAAATACCAGCACACAAACACTGGCTAGAACTTATTGAGGTTCTTTCTTTTTAAACATTTTCACCAACTCACTTCTCGCGGAAATATCACCTCAAGTCTTGACCACAAAGGAATTGAGCACCTTTCCAAGAGGTACAAGTTTCACAATTTCTTTTTGGCATGGTTTGATCCACAAGCCGTGAGGCTCATCAGTAATTCGAATTTAAACCCATATAAACGAAGTTGACTGCAGGAATCATTAAGCCACCAAACCAGAAATTGCGATCGCCCTTGCAGCCCCAGTCAACCCTACCCGAATGGTGCTCCTCCATTCTTCAAAAGCCTCCCTTAACTTCTCCTCAACCACCCAAATTTCTTCAACCGCTTCCCGCCCCTTTCCGTTCCCCCTAGAAGACTCTTTGAATGATATTCATAAAGATTCTAGTAAATGGAACAAGCGCAACCAGAGAGCCGATGCACCATCGGGGCCATTCGCCACTGAGCGAGTAACCCACCGAGGTTTATGGGAAGAACGAACCGGACGCAAAAACCGTGGTAGTTACCCTGGAATTTTTGGTGGGCAATAAATGAGATAATATGTTGGATACGCAAACGATGAAGAGGACACAGTTATGGTAGCCAATACTGGGGTGTGGGAAGCATGATGGATGCGTCTGAACTCCTTCGCGAGCTTCTCGGCTGGCGCGTTGGAGGCAAGGAATGAAGGGATTGCGTGTCGGGAGTAAGTATAATAAACCCCTTTTGTTTTATTAGAACAGATGTCTAAATTTTAGTATGGGTATACTGGTAGGTTAAACCACTGTCACCTACCCGTAAGCGTTCTAGAGCCAATGGAGCCAACAATTTTTGCAAATTGAACAGCCAGGGGAAGAAAAGGTAGCAGAATTAGGATGCACCGACATTGTATTTTTAATTGATTTGAAATGGCCCCTTGTGCTTTTTTAGTGTGCGGATAAAGTTGCTGAGTTTTTCGAGCCTGCGCAGGATTGCGATTCCTATCCGAAGTTCTATTCATTGAAGTGCACCGGGAATCGACGTCACAGTCACCTTCCTCCACATTCACCTTCCTCCACATTGGGCGATACCAGGGACGAGAGTTCACCAAGGTACGAGTAAATGATATAGGGAGAACCCCCCCTGATAACCCCGGTGGGCTTTCTCAAGGGTCAATTCGGGACATACCTTAATCACCGGGAGCTCAAATGTCAGCTGTTGCTTAGATCACTCATTCAGAGCCTTTTTGACGAATAGCGTTGCAGGGAACTGCCAAGGTCGAGTGATCGGAGATGAGCCCTTCCGTGTGGTGGAATCAAACACCTGTTTCGAGGAAGATACGGGCAGCTGAAGTCCATAAAAGAGCGGGAGCCAGGGGCTATTGTTTTTCCTCGGTGGGTTGTTAGCTGGAATGTCATTGAATTAAAGTTGATCCGCATGGTTTTCAAATATTGTTCCTCAAACTATTTTAAACAACTTAGCTACGGGGGTCAGCTCCAGCACATCTTTTCCCTCCTCCTTCTCACTCGATTCGCCCGGTGCGCCGAGCATCGGGTCAACTCCCATACCGTACCGGTACCGGTATCTTAATTTCTTTTTAGGTCGTCCTAGGGGACTTTGGGACTTTCGAGTGAATACGAATTTGCTGCGCCTTAGACGTTTTGAGCGCTGAAGGCAGAATTGGCAATTTCGGCGATTGTAACGGCTTCAGCCTCAAGGAAGGGGGCTTATTGGGAATTCCCCGTGTCACGTTACCTTAGAATCCTTGCACTATTCACTATCTTACAGGTGCTCTACTCGTACTTGTACGGGTACAGAGACGGGTCAAGATTTGGCCCGTAAAAGTGGTGTATGGCACGATATACTCGAGTAGTACCGGTACCCCTACAGCACAGATGCTTTTGTTTGGAAATGAGGGGAAACGAAAGTCACATGCATGCACAAGAGTTCTGCCGCACAAGGGAAGATCACAGGGAGTGCAGTCTCATATTAGCAACACACACCATGTTCGAGTACCAGTACCGGTACAGCACGAACGTCCTGTATCTCAGGCACAGTGCTTGATTGTACCGCTGTTTTCTTCCTGAGCTGGATTGCAACCCCAAGTGTTACAAGTATCACTCTCTCCACCTCCACCAACCAACCGCCTGCATCATATAGGTTGTTCTTTCTCTACAAGAACGGGAAAGGCTCCGGTAGCGAGTCCATGATATCGGCAAGGCATCGAGGGATTGAGCGTATTGATCCTTATTGGAAATCGTGCTCCACCCACTCGCAAACACATTCCATGAAAGAAGGATGCTTGTGTCCAGAATTCCTCAAGTTCACCATTGGTTTAGGGTAAACAAACTACTCGCATGAAAGTCGTCTCAAGTCTCGCTGGAAGTTTCTTTTTCTTTCTCTTTTTCTTTTCTGTCTTTCCTTTTTATTTCTTTTCATGCACGGACCTCACTTCGCACAAAGACCTCCAGGGGAAAATGACGAGGAAAAAGCGCCTTTCAGCTGGTTCTCACGGGTCACGGTTGCTTTGTTGGCGACAACCAATTTGGAAAATTATGTTTATCGCTAAGATCTGCATTCATGCGTACCGTACCCATATTTCCATCTCTCTCGTGCGATATAATTGAATTCGTGAGCGAAGCGGATAAACATCCAGCTGAGAATCTGAATTCTGGTGGTGTGGTTCGAGGGGGGAATCTCCCATGTGCCTCCAATAACCTGGGTTGCATCCCGACGGATCCGTCGCGATAACGAGGACGCGTGCTTTTGTTACTGTGTGTGCGCGCTTATGCTTACCCTAAGTGTGGCTTTCGCGTGTTGAAGATGACGGCTTCTATGAATGATGATAAAGATAGTCGATGGCGAGTGCCCTCTCTTCTCCTTCTTCCTCCTGCTCATCCCCTTCATCGCCATCACCACTTAGTCTACTTGCCACCGCCATGTATGATGGTCGTACCCTGAAGTACTCGCGGCCCGGTACTGTACCGCCCATGCAATCTGACTGAGGTCTTGGTGTTGTGTGGGTTGTGGGCACCAATGCGGAAGATCCTAGGAAAGGCCAAGGATGCTCCTGAAACAGAACAATGGTTGCTCCCGGATCGAGGTGTCGAATGGGGCTAGGTGAACCATTTGGGAGTTTTCTCAGCTGCGCCTGCGTCCAAGTAACCCTTCTACGGTATGCCTACTTCACCCTTGCTGCCCTACGATAGCACGGCGGTGAGCGGCGGAAAATCGTGTCCCAGGGAGCATCTGTGATACAAAGAATGTCCCCAGTCACCACGCGTTCCCACTTTGGGTTTGGATCATGGGAAGACTTTCGTGGCTGTGGCGCAAAGTCGTTATCCAATACCGGGATAACCCACAACTTTCCATTGCGGGGCGAAGGGAAACATATCCGCTTGAGCCTCATGGGAGAGGGAGAGGGAGAGAGAAAGAGAGAGCGTGCACTTCCCTTGGGTTGCTGAGACGAGCTGAATGGGGGCATCCATTTCATAGTTCCACAGGCGTGGGCTTGGATGCCATGCATACGTATGCAAGCCACCGAACAAAATCCTTGAGGTTTGAATATCAAGCGATGCGTTTCTCCTCCATCTCTCCTCCTTCTCGCATGCAATACTACATATTCAATACAGCCCGCTAGTCCACAATCCAGATCGCCATCTGGAGACACACCTTGGGCTTGCCTTCCTCATACACGTTTGGCTTCCCCTCTCGTGCAACAAAAACGAAGTTGGAGGTAACTCCTCCAATAGCAATCATACCGGGTATTCCAAAGAGTTGGAGTTGGCAAATCCGAGAGGATTGGATTCCCTGAGATTCGAATATAGCAAATTGGGGTATGTTTAGAGTTTCTTGGTCCATTCTGCGTCCCACACAAGAACCTTTGCCACCACCTATTTTTCACACTGTTACCATCATACACACCGTTGATTAAATGCCGATTACAACCATATCCTAATGTCTTTGTTAAAAGGTAGTCGCTCTTTCCACCAACTCCAAAAATGCAAACCATAACCTCCAGTTTGGCTCTCCTATCGCTATCTCTGCCGATTGCCTTGTCAACCATTCCTTCTTCACATAGAAGGATAATCCCGTTCTATATTTCGGAGGGCTCTGGAGATATGCCCTGCTACAGCTTTAGCCCCGAACAACTTGAAAGATTCATGGCTGCTACCGGTTTCGGGTCGTTGGCCCTGCTTCTCACCGTCGTGTTGGGGCCCTTGGTCGTCCGCAATCTTTTACGCCAGAGACAACGCCTTTCAGCACCAAGAGAACCCAGCTCAATTGTGGTTATACCCCTGTTACAGGAGAAGAAATCGTTGGCATTTGGAGAGAATCCGGACTATCACAATATCGGGTTTCGTTACCGGCCCCCTGGCAAGATGCCCCCGCAAAGTCAGTGCGCTAGCTCACAGCTTTCAGCTGCCGACGAACTGCCGCCCTGTGCATGTTGCCCTGCAGAGACGAACCCTAGTACAGAAACCGTGGGGTCCAGAAATTCCCGGGCGCCTCGGAGATCGCCCTTCAAACCGATCTTACCGGGTATGAAAACGATGATTGAGGAAGGGGTAGATCCTGTGACTGGACATCGATGGAGGCGGAAGGTTGTAGTTTACACCGGGGGGTTTGGAGATTCATTGGGCGGGGCAAGTGCCACAACAGATAAGCAGGAGGAGAAGAAGAAAGCACCAGCAGTGGGGGTTTAGGGGGTATTTGTTTAGATTGATTTCCTAGGTTCTCAATTGTGAACTATAAAATTGGAGGAGGCAGGGATACTGTGTTGCCCAACGAATTTTCATTTTCTATCTGGAGATGGACTTTTGTTTAAAGTATCTTTTTCTTTTCTTTCTAGTGCAGTATATACGAGTACCCAGAAACAATGTACAGTGCCAATAATATAATATTTTTCTCATTTAAGCCGCAGGTGGATACGATTATGAGGACATGGGACGGGTCACTCGATAACAATGACTGGGAAGTTTTTTTGTTTGTGGTACTGTACTGTACTGCACAGCACAGTAGTAGTAGTAATAAGTAGTAATACTGGTACGGGATTAGATGGGAAGAAAGAAAGAAAGTAGGTCGTGAAAGGTTTTTTTTGTACAGTACTGTCACTTACCTCATTGGCACAAGCGCAGAATTATACGGCACACTCATTCCCAAAGTTACGATATCGTAGTAATAATAATAATGGAGTAAATCGGCGTGCCGCCACGGCCACGGCCGGACATAAGGCTAAGCACAAGTAAATGTATTGTACCCAGTACCTCAGCTACATATTTCCCCTCCCAGGCGTTATCGCGTATCAGAGTACTTGTAGCACAACAACATAGCTGAGAGTTGAGTTGGCTCTGGGTCCTGGGACCATTTTAGCTTTCCTCTTATTTTTTTTTTTTTTTTCCACCTCCAAATTTATCCTACCTCACACATCCCCCTACCAACTAAGTTACCGACCGGGTTCGATTAGGAGCTTTTTCATTTCTTTTCAGCAGGAATTGTTATATAGCATCCCACTGGCAGGTCTATTTACATGTGCGATGACCCGTGAAAATTATTCACGGAGTAGGAAGCACAGTAAGTGAGCCCGGTAGGCGCCTCACTCGTACGAGTACTGTACTGTACATGCACGAGTAGGGAGGGGGACGTGGGGGGGGGGGATTCAGTATCCAAGGATTTTGAGAACCCCGACCCTTACTGCACAGTACTCTCATGGGAAACAAAAAAAAAAAACGAATTCGGTGTTGTGATGATTGCTCGAGTGGACAAGGGGATAGGGTATGATACTTTCTAACTAATCCCTGAGTTGCCCAATCACGCATGTTCATAACCGGGTAAAGTGAGATAAGTTCAGATGTGCATGTCATCGTTTGGCCATGAATTGTATTTCTCGCGCTTAAGGGACTACCCTACTGGATGTGGTACTTGTACTGTACAGTGCTTGACCCAGGCGAGAAGCACCCGGTCATTTCGGAGGGAAAACAGGAATGTTTCAAGGATATTTCAGAGAGATAACACATATCTACAAACAAGTATGGGTACTGGTACTGTACTGTACCCCAAAGTGGCATTTGCCCCCCCCCTTTTATGTTCGGAAACTTTTTGTCTGGGACGAGCAGTTCAATGCTGTTTAGTATTCTGTCTACTACTCCTAAAGCACTGTGCGGTTGTGTTGTTGGTAGCGAGTGGCAATGGCGAGAGTGTATTTGGAGTTGACCTGCAGTAAGTGTTGGTGTCATCGCGACTTTTTGGTGGTGTTTGACTGGGTCCGGTTGACTCTGGTAAGGGATTTTTGCCAGCGTATGATATTGCTTGAATACAGTAATGGTACCATCGAGGCATCATGGCCCACTGCACTAGTACCTGTACTAGTACGGTACTCGTACTGTACTCGGGTATGGAGATTAGTGGTGAGACAGGCAGGAGTGTGAGTGGCCGAGGAGATGTGCACGGGGCAGGAATCTGTAGATATGTCGAGCCTCGGCCATCCGTATCCATCCCCTGTTCACCTCATCACTCACCTCCATGCCGAGTATGGCGCGAAATCGGAGCATCGCACAGTACCGGTACTGTACTAGTATGATCACCACTAGCGTACCAAGATATCGAGATCTGCACCCATGTTGGGGAAGTACTCGTACAATCTTGAGTGATTCTCCCTCCTCCCTCTCCTCCGGGATGTCGATCGTGGAGATGGAGAGGAGGGAAGATAACCCTCGTGATATGGTACTTCTGTATTGGCACTAAAGAAGGTTCCATCCATAGTTTCGAAGCATTTTTTTAAAAGAACTATTATTGCATATATCACCACCTAGATCCGAGCAAAAGAGATCAATATTTGGTGGTATGCGATACCGTAGCAGTCCTTTTTTAAAAACGGCTTCGACATCATGAGCACTCGAGTAGGGGTTTTTCAGCAGAAACACCCAAACTAGAACTACTCGGGTACTGTACGAGTACTGTACTCGTATGGTGGAGCCCCCCCCCAAAAAAAAGCGAAACTCAATGATCATCGAAAAGAATCGGTTCTGACCGGCTGCCGTGATTTAGTGCCGGGATTCATGATAAAGTGCAGTTACCTGTATGTCTCGGAATTACGGCGTGCGGTTTCTTTCTTTTTTCTTCAGTTTCCTTTCTTTGTTTTGTGGCTGGATTTGTGTGATTAAAGTACCGGTGCCGGTGGTGTTGGTGGGTTATCAGAGTTTTGGTTTCAGCGCGGGGTGGAAGTGAGTGTGCTGTACTGGGGCGATCAAGTTAAGCATCGGTACGGTGTCATAAGTCGGCCATTAGATGGGAGAATCCCGTTGGAGGCGAGAGCCGAGTGATTGAAGAGAGACAAGTCTGATCTTTTTCTGGCCATACTGGAGTCAGACAGGTTCAGTAGGTGCAGGGAAGATGCTGGGAAAAGGAATCATGAGAAATATTTGTCTCTTGATATTATGTTCCCCACCAATTGGTGACTATTTTGTATGATCCTGCAGTTTTTGGTGGGGCTCGTGGAAATTATTAGCTCTTTGGGAAGAGAGAAAACTGATATCATAATAATTATAGGTAAACTGGAAACATGTTGATTTTCCATGGTTCTGGCGTGCCAGATCTCCCGTGGTTCTTCTTTTCGCCACGAGGTCCAATCGGGGTCTTCCAACCCCTCATGGCGTTTGTGTTTTTGATTTTTGTTGGGGTTTATTACCTATTCGCATGTGCTTGCATTAGGTTAAGTTAATGTGATGAGACAAGTCAGAGGTACCGGTACCAGAAATGCCTAACAATCGCCATGTCTGGGTCACTGAATGTGGTGTTCCATTGGTCTGATGCCCTCGGAGTTTCCTTTGCAAGTGTGATACCGCTATCATTCCTTTCTGCTTGTATTGCGAGAGGAGGAAAGGAAAGAAGGAAAACTCACTTCCTCCTATCGGTATACCCTCTCCCCGTCACCGTCACCAGCCCGGCCAACAATGGCCTTCAAAATTTATCTTGAGCTTGTGAACAGTGTACTCACTGTTGTCTTTGCTGAACCGGGTTTTGATTTCTTTTGGCTGTATTAATGCTCATGTGAACTCGTGTCTCCGGGAAAGCTATTCCAGGCCCCTAGAAATGGCGAACGGGTGCCAGTTCTTGGCTCGGACACACGGGTCCTTGGGAGCTTCTGTGAGTGTTTGCTTTTACCGGGTGTATTACCATCCAATGACCAGGTACGGGTGTCAATGTTTTTGGGATATTGTACCCTTTTTGGTGTGATGGGGGTCCACCGAGGAGAGTCGGGGGTTGCACGGGGTTTCGTTTATTTCCTTCTCGCTTGAATGCGCGAGCTTGAGTTTCTGGCGGGGCATTTGTGGTTGTTGTTCGTGATGATTACTGCGGACCTGACCTGACTTGGCGGAAGACAGGTTGGTCTAAGCACCGTATGGGCAGGTTCAAACTGAATGCCAGTACTGTGCAAGGCCTATTGCTCGAGTAGGGCCTAATGAGACACGTTATGGAGATTCAGATTGCTAAAATGGTGACAAACAAATTGCCCAACCTTTTTAACGTGGCGGTATCGGCTAATACACACTCTCTATCTATCATATCTAGTAAGCAATATACAATTCTAGCGACTGCCTCTCCAACTCCCAGGATCCATGGTTCTATCAGGGTTTTGGCTCCACCCTCAGCAGTATCTTTGCAGCGGTTTCTCATGCAGCAAATGCCTGCCACAGACAGATCATGTCGCTAGCTGTAGACTCGTGGCGTGGAATTACTGGGGTAGCACGTGATCGTCCTAACGCAGGGTTGATTTACGAAAAATTAGGAAGTTCTTTCGAGCTGGTGTGGCCATTGACTTTTATATGGCGGCAAAGTGCTTTTCCGAGAGAATGTTGTCTGGCTGCTTTTGGCAGGACCGTGGAGCAGCTGGGCACCAATGAAGTTGGTTTCCAGGGTTGACTTGTAGAATTCTACAAGGCGTTGGTGAATATGGTTCTCGTGTTCCATCACATTCCAATTATGGTTACCATTGTCAAGGGAGTGCTGAAATGGTTATCTTGCTGGCTAAAACCGGAGCTCTCCAGCCCGGGAAAAGGGAATGTCCTCTATCTATTGGTATCTTTGTCATTTTTATTATTTTGTCTTCATTGGTGGTATGCAATGAATTGGCTGGAGAGCAATTCTCGCCGTATGTGAAGTCCAAGAGTGCTGAAAAGAGTAGGGTCACGCGGCCATATTTGGCAGACTATCTTAGGTCACAGTATTGCAGGGGGACGGCGACTCCCAACAGAGCGGGGTTGCGTGGACGAGACGATAACCTTGTTAGCTGCATGGTGGGTAACTGGATTAGTATTCACCTGAGCGCTATACGAGATATTGCGAAATAAAGAAGTCTATGAAAGTTGCTGGAAGGGTTGACGGGCAGATGGCGATATCTGATACTCGGGCTACCTATGCAGGGCTTGTAAGGCTTCGGTATCTTGTTCCCCCTTCCCCATCCCCCACAAGCGCCTTCTGCATTTTTTAATAGAAGCACTGTAACCTAGATACTAATTAAGGATTGGACCGCGACGATGAAGGAAATCCAGAGAGTGTCCTCGGCGCTGCAGTCTCGGAAATCGTCAGGATTGTCAATCAGAACGGGATAACCCTGACTGGAATGGAGATACTTCCGGGAACTTGTTGGAATGAGCATGTGTCATGTCCATCATGATCTAAAGGTATAATCCCGAGAAGTGGTCGGACGGTAACCCCGGGCGGCTGGAGAATTATTATCATACGTTCCGTATTCGAAGGTGGGAGACAATGTCTAGCTGTTTTGTGGATGGGGGTTTATTTCTTTTCAATTTCTCCCCATTACCATCATCACCGCCGCCGTCACCATCGCTATTAGAGTTGCGTGGGGCGTGCGGGGGGGGGGGGATGTTCCAAATGCTCGGGTTCACTCAGGTTGG